ATGCTGTGCTATGGAACAGGGGCTGTTTTTAAATGTTCAGCTAACACAATGGGGACTTGATCCTATTTGAGGTCTCTGGACACTTCTGTAATATAATTGGCTTTCCTTCCCCCAATAAGAGGGTGGTGTTTGAGAAAGACTCAGGTAATGGAAAGTGAATAAAGTGTTCTTTTGGAGTTTAGAGCTAATTGTCATCACTGTAGTAGAAGCAGGCACTGGGAGAGGTAACATTAAAATTTTTGTTGGATCTTAGACAATGTAGTTTCACCTAATGTATTTGTAAACCCCTGATGCTACAATATGAAATAATGTTGTACTTAAATAGTATCTGAGATTCTCCTATTTATATATAAAGAAAGCCTCAACTTTTTAAAGGAAACTGCTCTTTAAAAAGTAACAATTTGAATTTGCTGCTGTATGGTACCTTGGCTCATTTTCAGTAATGTTTTGGTGAGTAGTGACCACTTTATCAGCAGCCGGTGAAAGACAGATCTAAAGATAGTCAGAGCTATAAAAGATCCTTCATAGAAATAACTATGATAGAAATCCTGGTTAGATGCTGCACACCTATTTTAGCTGATAGATCAAGTAAACAGGTTATGTCATCCTTCAGTAGTACAGAGTCTGCCTTTCAGTCATTTGGAACTGCTGGGAGGCATTTGTAGACTCAACAGTCCCTGTTACTCAGATTGTTCCATGTCAATACATATGCTTCCCAAGGATATGGATCTATACCCACTGCAGGGGAATAATCTTTATATAGTGTGTGTTAAGGTTTTTTTGTTTAGGCTGGGGGAAAAGAGATGGTTACAGCAAACAGAATCCATTCCAGTTTTAAGAAAACTAGTTTGATATCTTCTTTGAGATTTTGATATTCTTCAGTTCCCAGGACAAGTTAATTTTGTGTTTATGTACTTTTCCAGTCATGGATTTAGACTTTCATATTATAGTCTGTACCTGTATTTTTTGGATATGGTATGTGACAGCTGTATTCTAACAGTAAGTCTGTTAGCACTTAAAGTGGAACATTCTGGTATACGTGTGGAGCTGTGCCTGAGAATCTGGTAACAAAAGTTACTGACTAAATATGTTACATTTCAGACACTAATCCAGATAACTCACTCAACAGAATAAAGCTAATCCATTCCTTGTTAGAAATGCTGCCTGCAGTCTCTGAAGGATGTAACAAATACCCCATGCCTAAGCTCCGCAGGGCTCCTCACTGCCTCAAAGTGAAGAACAACGGGAGTTTGACTGGGAGGTTCTGAGGCAGGAGGAGCAAGGATTTATTTTCCCTTCCAGAAGGCAGAGGGAGTAACTTGAGGTGAATCATACTAAATGAGAACTACTCAGTTTTCTAAATTCTGGATCTGTGTCAAATGTAATGGAAAGACAGGATCGGGTTTCGAGTGTGGCAGTCAGAGCAGAAGTGGAGTGCTGGCCTATAACAGCAAATCTTTAATTGAAGAAATACCATTGGCTCTGAAAATAAACTGGGGAACAAACCTGTTTGGGGAGATGGACCAAATTACCCATGAGGAGTTTCCTTTCTGTAATTTTGTTAGCAATCTTTTTCATTTTGACAGAGTCATTATATTTGGTTATTTTTTATTTTATTTTATTTATAATTACAAGACCAGTGGTTACTCAAGTGTATTTTTGTTGATCAGTTTGGGCACCCCATGGAAGACTTTGAGTTTAAAGTGATATATCAGGTCATTATTCTATGCGTGTACTTTGTATTTTTGCATTTGTTATTTTTTCAGTCCTATGGTATATCTCCACATGTGGCTAAATCAAGGAGAAGCTCAGGATAATTCAGGAAAAGTGCCCTTTGCAGGGCTAGAGTCCATAGTTTAAAAGATACAGAAAAATGTTGCTGTTTGACTGGGAAAGTTTTAGGCCTCTGAAGAAAGCAAACATTGAGGTATATCCTAGAAGGCAGGATGCCCAGGACAGAATAGGTACAAATGAGAATTTGCCGCTCACATGTATTCTTTGGTGACAATCTGGAAGAGTCAAGACCATGATTCAGCAAAACATGCCAAGACATGCTTGAAGATTAAGCATCTTTTTGAACAGGAATGGATTTAAGCACTTGTTTAGGTGCTTTGCTAAAAATGATGTCCAGGTGCCCATGCCTACAATGAGTATAGTAAGTAAACCCCTCTGAAATAGGTCATCTGACTATGATCTGTATAGCAATTTACTGCCGGGGCTTTTCCTAGGCCAACAATACAATTTATTCAGATTTGGTGAAGAGCATATGAGAAGGGAAGAGAAAATTCACTTCCTGTTTTGGGGCTAGGGTAGAAGTTTGCTACACAGCCCCAGCCCCTCTCCTGTGGCTCCCAGTCCAATCTATGTACTGGATTCAAGTCCTGCGTTTCTGCCTTCATCATCTCTCTGTGTAAGCCTATACGCTATTGACACAAAGACCCTCTTTGCAATATTCAGGCAGTGCAGCGGATTCTCCTGAACAGTCACTCTGGTAGCAAGTCTCATTTTAAGCAGTGTAGAGGGCCTTTTGTAGGCCTTCTTCACCGGGATGAATTTCACCCATTGAAATACTATAAAGGCTTAATTTACTCCCCCCTCCCCCCCTGAAAATCATACATCCAGATGTAACTAATTGTTATAATGCTTATTCATTACCTATTTTTTTAATACTTATTGGCTAATAAGACAGGACATTGGTGGATTAATAGGAGTTTGATACACTGTTCCATAAGTGTTCAAATGACAGCAACAACAAAAAATGTAAGTGCGGGTTTAGTAACTAATGGAAAAAAATGTGGGCTTTGTTTACATTTCCTTTGATCACTTTTTAAAACAAACATGCTTTAAATACTAGCCATCCAACTGGTGTACCTTACTTATTAAAATGTTTTCTTATTGGGTGGGATCCAAAGTCCTGTAATAGTCGAAACCAGTGGTCTCCAAAGAGGATCCTTGGAGGTGCGTGGCAGGAGGAGCGCTTTTTTTTTTTTTGCTTCAGGCAGTTCGAGTGGGAGTCCGAGAAGTCCCGGGAGATGGACACGGGCACTGAATAGTCTCAGCCCTAGAGGTCTTTCCTTCAGGGCATCTTTCCACATTGTGGAAAGTTTGCTGTTCCACTGTCCATACTGTTGTATGTATCTTGTGGCTAAACGGAGGAACTTATTCTCCACTGGTCACTCTCTAGGATTTTTTATGAGAATTAGATTCACTGAGATCTTTGTTTAAAGTTTTCATTTTAACTAGAGAATATTATTTTCAAATGAACAACATGATGAACAAGAATTTCTTGAAATCTTTTCCTTCTGTTTTTCTAAGCCCTTTTTTTATTGGGGTGGAGGATTAGGACATTTGGTAGAATTTTAGATAGGAAGGCTTTTTATATTCTTGAAGTGTTTCCAACTCTCACAATATTTTTTTAAAGGTTCTCTAGAATTTCTCATTTCTGCCTACCAACTTTTGAAGTTTTGCCCTTATCCAGTATATTCACCACCTCCCATTACTCACTGTCAATGGAACTAAACCACAGACTTCTCTCAGAAAGATGGCCATCATGTCTACATAACCTTTGTAGAGAAAAGTGAGGCTTCCTCTAACAAAGATGGATGATCTCTCCTATCGTTTCCAATGGGGCTGCAGCCAGATTGCTGTATGAGGACCAAATGGAGGCAGGAGAATGTGGAGGTGCAGTGAATGACACTGGTAGTGGTCGGGGAAGAGAACACGAAAAAGGAGTGAGTTAGGTAACTAAAGAACTGAAGGAATGTTGGAAGGTCCAGGGACAGACTGAGGGGGAGGCAGCAGAGAGGGAGAATGAGATAGGTAGCAGACTGATGAGAATATGAGGGGGAAGTAAATTAGGGGGTAGATGGGAGACAGGTGGCTGGAGGAGCAGGTAGGGAGTACATGAGTAAGACAGCTGCCTATCCTGTCTAGACAGGGAGAGGGTTAGAGATGGGTAGGACAACAACTCCCCACAACTCAAGGGTTAGGAGAGGGTGAGATGCGTGTCATCTGAGCAGTGACTAGAGAGGGTGTGTGTGTGTGTGTGTGTGTTGAATTCTGACCCTGAGATGATCACAGGTGGCTTCCTCAAAAGGTGAAGAAAAATCAGAAAGCAGGTAAAAAATGTGAATAAAAATCATGATTTTAAGCCAATTTAATTTTTGAAGTATTTTACTTTGGTTTTAGTTCATGATTTTTGAATGCTTGGCGTTCGTCATACTGATCTGGCCCTAGGCATGCTGCTTCTTGGAAATATTGAATTCCAAGTATATAGTGTGTCATACAGTTTTAATTAAAACAGGTTTATAAATAAGATTGTAATAATATTTTCTTTTTTCTGTGTTTAATAAGAAATGAAGGGGGAAAAGACAGAAAATAGGGGATTAAATTCATTAGACAACTTTTAAGGAAATAACTTTTCTTGCCCAAAAAGCTAAAGGATACTAACAGATGCAAAATTTTAAAACATTTCCTCACTTTTGATAACAAGCTATTTTAAAAATTTCATACTAATTTGAAAACTGGATATACTTTAGATTTCTCAGTGTATGAAATAAATCCTAAATAAGCGTTGTTCTGAGAATATAAGTTATCTTCTTGTAAAAATAAGATACTAGATGTGATGGGTAGTGAAGTTTCACAAACAATACATTGCACACAGCACAGATGCATTTGTGTATACATACCCCCCCACAAGTTATTTTACTACTCTTCTAATGAAATATTGGTGATGACAAATTCAGATAGTAAAAATCTGAGCCCCAACTGGGTGATATATTTTAAAGTACTGATTACTATTCCATCACTGCTATTTTGACATAAAGGGGTCATTATTTTACATTCTTATAACTATAGAAACCACTTTACTGCTTTATGGAGCATCTACAGACTGAAAAAAGATTCTCTTAATTTTCTCCCACTTCACAGATGAGATATTAGCAAACTTTTTTCACATTGTATGTTTAGATATGTCTGATTATAGTTCTAATCTTTTTTAGGGGGAGGGGATGGCCCAAGATAATGCTGTCCCTAAATTGAGCTTTCAGTATTGGCTGGATAAGGCTGTTGAGTGGGGTCAAACCACCACTTTGGAATCCCAGCAAGATGTCTGCCTTCACTTGCCTAAATTACAGGAGTTTCTACAGCAGATTTATGAATCCTTGAAACATATGGTAAGTAATTTAGCAGGAAGAATGAACTGTTTTGAAGACTGCCTCAAACAATCTGAACCCCATGTTTTGACAAAACCAAAAAGTGAATGGTAGCGGAGAGGCTTGTGGTATTGACCTAATGTATTGCTGGATAAAAGAGGCAAATTGGGGAAACAGGCACAGGTAATGCAAACAGGAATGTGTTTCCTGTGTCCCTGATTTATTGTGAAAGGAGCTTTTTTTTCTTGATTGGTTATGTTGTCACATGAGATTTCCTAGCCAATCGAGTAGACTCTTTTAAAAACTCTTTAAAATAAACACAAATTTGATTCTTGTTGTCAGGTCATAAATTGGATTATTTAAAGGCCTTTACATGCAAAATTGTAACTGATCCCTTAAATCCTAAAGAGTCTGTTGACATGCTAAACCCAGTGCTTGGCATATATAGTGATTTCCAGCACTATGGTCAGATCACTGGCAAATGTTACTAACTATTCTGGTTAGTAATTTGAATATTGTATTTAATCTTTCTTTCTTCCTTCCTTGGTGTAGTCAGGTAAACTTTAGGTGGTGTTTTTTGTTGTAACTTTTGTGTGCATTGATTCATCATAGCAGTTTTCAATAATACAGTATCAAGTTGTGAGGTTAAAATGCTCTTCACCCCATGAAAAGATTAACAAAAGAAAAGTATTTTTTTTTCTGAAGTTAAAGTGCAGTTTTCAAAATTGATTTTTGAGTGTTGAGTGTTGAGATTTTTGTGTGTGTATACTTTAAGAATAGAGATTTTTATATGAGAATAAAAATAAAATCTGTTTTTTTTTAATGTTGCTACTTCAGTGAGTACTTTCTGAGGTTTGGCCTCAAATGGACCTTCTGTATATGGCCCCAGAAAGTCTAGGACCAGCCCCAGTCTGAGACAAATCTGAGGAATTTATTGCAGCAGCAGGAGATGGTTATTGTTTCTGCTACTTGCACATTATCTCAGCACACTACCATTTTTAAAGCCTTCATTTATTAGACAGTAAAGCTACAAATACTGAAAAATAGGCTGATTGCATAAGGGTCTATATAAACCTCACTATCTACTACTTTTTATAGTGAAGCTGCTTTCTATTTGGTTAAATGTTCCTTGTTTTTTTGGTAGGTTCAGTGTCTGTTAAATTTTATGTTGTGACTGACTCGTTATGATGTCATTTGCCATGCAGTAAGCAGGAGTAGTAATATGTAGATACTTATCTTTATGCCATAGCTTCTCTTAGTTTCTTCACAAACTCCATGGCATAATGTAAGAAAACTATAGGGATCAACAGACTACTTTAACTGTATTTTACTACCTGGAAATTTGTGCTATTTACAAATATTATAGCCTTTCCTGACAACTCCACATAAGGAAAATGAAGTTAATTTTCCAATATAATTAAACATTACCCTAAGGGAAATATAGCTGAGGTTTAGCTGACCTGGATGAAGTATTAAGTTACAGCTGTGGCCTGAAAGCTTTACTTTTATTAAATATCTGAAGGTCTTCTGCTCCCAATGTGTACCTTTAGCAAAATAATAATGTAATTTACAGTTATCTAGGTAATTAATGATAATCAAGTATTTTTGGTGTTCAGTACATTATGTTTTTGTTTACAGAATTCCACTACTGCAATTCAGAGGTTCCCTTTAATTGGTCAATTACTAGGAAGACTTTGTTGGAATCCCTTTGTTGTAGGATATGGTAAGAACTTGAAACTAGCTTTCTGCAATAGTTTCTAGAATTTTCCTTTCAAATTGTATTTTTTTATATTTCTGGGCACATACTTTGATAGCTCATAAAAATATGAGAATGCAGATAGTTTGTTTTGAATTATGTTACTGATCAGAAACTATAGTACTTGTTCCATAATCTCACCTCTGTTCTAAAATCCATCCACTCCCTCTTCCCTTGAATAAGTAAGAGGTTCTTCAAGACATCTGCAAGGTAAGGGGTCTCAGTGATTACCTGCCTCTTTTTTCTCAAAACCTTCCCCAAAGTGCTTGAATGAATCCTTCCTGACTGTAAAATTTTATCAGGAGGCTCTCACCTCTCCTCACATCAGTTATTTAAAAATCCTTTGTAGGGTTTCTGGAAGCCTAACTCTGAGACTCCTTCCACTATTCCCAGAGACTTGTTTGAGGAAAATGCAAAATCTCTTCTTAGTAAAGGAATCTCTGTTGTTGGCACTGCCCTTCCCCTCTTCAGAAGGATGAAAGCTGACGGGTGCGGAGGAGCTCGTGGTTTGGACAGAGACATCCATTAGGGGAGGCTCTATTAATGGAGTTATATCCTAGTAAGGAGAAGAGGATGGAAGATGATAAAATACAGGTAGGATCAGATGAGAAACAGTCAAATGAAAAAGAGTCCCATTCAATTACATCAGATAATGGCAGACAGCTAAAAGGTGACAATTTTTTAAGTGCTTATACATATAAATGCTAAAAGTCTAAATACTAAGATGGGTGAACTTGAGTCCCGCATATTAAATGAGGATATTGATATAATAGGCATCACAGAAACTTGGTGGAATGAGGATAATCAATGGGTCACAGTAATATCAGGGTGCAGAATATATCGGAAGGATAGAATAGGTTGTACGTGGGGGAGTGAAAGAAAGCATAGAGTCACATGAAGTAAAAATCTTAAATGAACTAAACTTGTACCATAGGATCTCTATGGATAGTAATGCCATGCTTGAATAGCAGGAATATAGCAGTAGGGATATACTACCGACCACCTGACCAGGATGTTGATAGTGACTGTGAAATGCTCAGGGAGATTAGACAGGCTATAAAAAAAAACAAAAAACCCTCAATAATAACGGGTAGGGCTCCGTGTCTGTCATGCTTGTCGCAGAAGTCACGGAGTCCATGACTTTCTGCAACTTCCATGACTTCTGCAGCATCCGGTGTGGCTGATCCAAGGGCTGCTCAAGCCCCAAGCAGCGGTTCCTGGGGTGGCCAGAGAAGCCACTGCTCAGTGGCCCCTGACAGCCTATGCCGCTGGGCCCCCCCCCAACAGCAGCCCCCCCACCCCCCCAAGATTTAGTCAGGGGTATTTATAGTATAAATCATAGACAGGTCATGGGCTGTTAATTTTTGTTTATTGCCCATGACCTGTCTGTGACTTTTACTAAAAATACCCGTGACTAAATCGTAGTCTTAATAATGGGGGATTTCAACTATCCCCATATTGACTGGGTACATGTCATCTCTGGACAGGATGCAGAGATAAAGTTTCTTGACACCTTAAATGACTGCTTTTTGGAGCAGCTAGTCCTGAAACCCACAAGAAGAAAGGCAATTCTTTATTTTGTCCTTAATGGAGTACAAGATCTGGTCCAAGACGTGAATATAGCTGAACCATTTGGTAATAGTGACCATAACATAATAAAATTTAACATCCCTGTAGGGGGGAAAACACCAAAGCAGCACACAATAGTAGCATTTAATGTCAGAAAAGGGAACTACACAAACATGAAGAAGTTAGTTAAACAAAAATTAAAAGGTACAGTTACCAAAAGTGAAATCCCTTCAAGCTGCATGGAAACTTTTTAAAGACACCGTAACAGAGGTGCTCAATTTAAATGGATATCCCAAATTAAAAAACATAGTAAGAGGACCAAAAAAGTGCCACCATGGCTAAACAACAAAGTAAAAGAAGCAGTTAGAGGCAAAAAGGCATCCTTTAAGAAATGGAAGTTAAATTCTATTGAGGAAAATAGAGAAGCGCATAAACTCTGGCAAGTGAAATGTAAAAGTATAATTAGGAAGGCCAAAAAAGAATTTGAAGAACAGCTAGCCAAAGACTCAAAAAGTAATAGCAAACAATTTTTTAAGTACATCAGAAGCAGGAAGCCTGCTAAACAACCAGTGGGGCCATTGCAGAGAAACTAAATGAATTCTTTGCATCGGTTTCCATGGCTGAGGATGTGAGGGAGATTCCCAAACCTGAGCCTTTCTTTTTAGGTGACAAATCTCAGGAACTGTCCCAGATTGAGGTGTCATTAGAGGAGGTTTTGGAACAAATTGATAAATTAAACAGTAATAAGTTGCCAGTACCAAGTAGTATTCACCCAAGAGTTCTGAAGGAACTGAAATATGAAATTGCAGAACTACTAACTGGTATGTAACCTATCATTTAAATCAGCATCTGTACCAGATGACTGGAGGATAGCTAATGTGACACCAATTTTTTAAAAAGGCTCCAGAGGCGATCCCAGCAATTACAGGCTGGTAAGCCTAACTTCAGGACCAGGCAAATTGGTTGAAACTATAATAAAGAACAGAATTATCAGACACATAGATGAACACAATTTGTTGGGGAAGAGTCAGCATGGTTTTTGTAAAAGGAAATCATGCCTCACCTATCTACTAGAATTCTTTGAGTGGGTCAATAAGCATGTGGACAAGGGGGAATCCAGTGAATATAGTGTACTTAGATTTTCAGAAAGCCTTTGATAAGGTCCCTCACCAAAGGTTGTTAAGCAAAGTAAGCTGTCACGGGATGAGAGGGAAGGTTCTCTCATGGATGGGTAACTGGATAAAAGATGGGAAACAAAGGGTAGGAATAAATGGTCTGTTTTCAGAATGGAGAGAGTTAATTCCTCAGGGGTCTGTACTGGGACCAGTACTGTTCAACATATTCATAAATGATCTGGAAAAAGGGGTAAACAGTAAGGTGGCAAAATTTGCAGCTAATACAAAACTACTAAAGGTAGTTAAGTCCAAAGCAGACTGCAAAGAGTTACAAAGGGATCTCACAAAACTGGGTGACTGGGAAACAAAATGGCAGATGACATTTAGTGTTGATAAATGCAAAGTAATGCACATGGGAAAGCATAATCCCAACTATACATATAAAATTATGGAGTCTAAATTAGCTGTTACCACTCATGTGATAAAAGAAGGGGAGAGTAGCTCCCTTTTATGGACACCCAGCCAGCCAGTTAGCTATACAATTCCTCTTAGTAGCTGTTTTCTACTTGCTTTACCTGTAAAGGGTTAAAAAGTCCATAGGTAAAAGGAAGGGAGTGGGCACCTGACCAAAAGAGCCAATGGGAAGACTAGAGCTTTTTAAAATTGGGAAAAAACGTGTGTGTGAGTGAGTGAGTGTGAGAGAGAGAGAGAGAGAGAGAAAGGGCTTGAGAGAACCCCGTAGGAAGAAATTCCCACGTGCGCCTTCCTGAGTTCTCAAAGGAGTTTTTGCTCTTGGGTGGTTGCAGCATCTACCCGTCCAAGGTCAGAGAAAAGCTGTAACCTTGGAAGTTAAATACAAGCCTGGAGTGGCCAGTATTAATTTTTAGAATCCTTGTGGGCTCTCACCTTCTGCACTCAAAGTGCCAGAGTGGGGAATCAGCCTTGACAATTATTACAGGCCCACTGTATACATCCTTTCAGAGGAATAGGTTGGTGAATGAGATCTTTTCCTAAGTTCATCCCCAAAGTGGTATAAGAATTCCACCTGAATCATCTGTCACCTTACCACTCTTCTTCCTGAAGCATCACCCTTCGCTGAGAGAAAAGACGCCTCGTATTTGGATGTTTCCAGGACCTTGCTTTACTACCTCAACAGGACTAAGCCATTCAAGCTCTCTCCCCCTGCCTCTCTGTAGCCATATCAGCTTGTCAGAAGGTCAAGCCATCTTGTTTGAGAGACTTTCACAGTGGGTCATACAGTGTATTTCCACCGGCTGTCAGCTGGCTGGTGAGCCTCTCCCACTGAGAGGGTACAGACAGCATCTTCTGCCTGCTTCAGAAATGTGCCAGTCTCTGAGATCTGCAAGAAAGTCATGAGAAGCAACCCACTCACTTTTGTTAAACATTATGCCTTTGATATGGTAGCCTGGTTTTATGCCAGATTCAGGAGAACACTTGCCAATCATCTAGAGCGGGATCCTCACTGACACATGCTCAAGGAAAGAATAGTTACCTACCCTACAGTAACTGTGGTTCTTTGAGATGATGTAGTCAGTGTGAATTCCACAACCTGTCCTCTGTTCCTGCTTTTGGAGTCTTCAGCAACACAGGTTTTGAATTGCAAGGGAACTGAGGGAGGGATGCAGCCATTCCCCCCCTTCATGCCCTCATATTGGAGCACAAGGAGGCACAGAGCACATGCCTGGCACCAATGGACACTACTAGTCAAGAAAGTCCAGTCTCGTATGCATGAGACATATGTCCACCTACAGTTGATCCACGCTGACTATAACATCTTGAAGAGCTACAGTTACTGTAGGGTAAGTAACTGTTCTTTATAGTCTGTGAGTCCCTGATTAAACAGTTATAATACAATGTAATCTTTTGCCCCATCACTTCTGCTTTTTCTTCTCCCTCTCCCTGAATAAAGTTTTGATTGTGTGAATTATGTAATTCCATATTTTTATTAAGAACTTCTGTATGGCATAGTGTAAATATAAATGTGTGTGCATAAGCAGGGATAAGACAGAGACAGGGTTGAAAATAGTTGAACTAGATTCTGTTTTTTGTAGGATGTATGGACTTGTGTTCTTTTGTATGTATAAAACATCTTTACTGCTTATTACTTAAATATTTTTGGTTTTGCATTAGAAATGTAGCAATTTTGAGATAATTTTAATCACATGTATTGTAACAGTGGTGTTTTTAATAAAATTTAAAATTTTTGACTCCCAAAAGTATAGGACTGTAATAGGGTTGATTGGAACAAGAAATAATTATTTGTTTAATTTGTCTCCTAAATAATTTCGTACTGGGAATTTTTTTCATTGAAATGGTGCTTTTGAAGATGATAAAATTGTTAAAATGCGAAGTGTGCAAACAGCTGAATTCTAATTGTCTGTATTGAGTGAACATTGAAAGCACAAACCAGAATTAGGACATTTAGAATTTCTAGTGAATGGTACACAAGATGCTCTTTTACATTGATCTTAAACAAATTAGGAAATTATGTAGGCTCATAAAAATGTATATTAAAAAGATCCCAATGTTCATAACAACAAAACTGTAGTTAGTTAAATATGTGTGTTTGATAACCATTTCTTTGCAGAGATGTTAGTCAGTGGGAGGCCAGTGATGGCCTACAGGCTTGTTGGACATTTATTGAAGAACACTGGTTTAAATCAATAGTAACATCTTTGATCACCTGGTGAAAATACAGAAGTTACTTAAAGAAGCTTGTATTTCTTGTCTGTAGGCTTTGCCAACAAAGTACTTCTAAATGATACTGTTTATTACATCCTGGATGACAAGTATATTGAGAACAGCAAAAGTCATTGTAGGGGATCATTTTAATGCTATAATTTCTTCTCCCACCATTCCTAAAACCCTTTGAGTAATAGTGTTTTATATTATTATTAAAAATAATAGCACTTAGTAAACTAATGTTGTATAAGAGCTTCTCTACTATTAAACCCAGTTTTTGTAGGTTTACAGTATAACCATAAAATTTTACTCTGGGCTGGAATTTGAGATATAAGCTTAGCCTCTGCTAAAGAGCAATATTTAAAACATTTTTAAATATATATAATTATACTCCTATTCAGAACTAAATTTTGGGAAAGAGTCCACAAGCCTGAGTAAACTGGCTATGCAGGCACACAGACTTGCTCAAAAGACATTAGAATCAGAATCCTCAGCTCCAACTTTCTAATTGTCTGTGTTTACATGGACAGGGGCTCTTCTGTAATGTATGGTGGAGTACCGGAGATGGCCTGTTGTTTCTCACATATATGGGTTATGGGCTAGTAGAACTGTGTAGTACATGGACCTACTGGCTATATCCATTCATTTCCTTTGATCCATTCACCAATCTACCCTTCTGTGGTCCTGAAGAGAAAGCCACAATGGAGCTTGGTTGTGCAGTGTTCAGGAGTTCGCAGAGTCTTCCTATGCGCCATATGGCTTGGCTCCACTGTGCAGCAGAACTGTCACATTGCCACAGCATGTGGTGTCTAATACATCCATCTACAGGGCCCCAAGATTTTCACCCATGTTATGAATTACTTTTACAAATCCATAATTGAAATTTGCAGGGATAAAGTTCGTTTACTTGTGTATATATATATATATATATATATATATATAGGTAAGGTTATGATAAAATAGTAATAAATCTTGTCTAGCAATGGCTTATAATTATGGCTAATGATGTTAAAGAAAAATACAAAGATATTTAAACACTTACTGCACATTAACTGTAATCACTATTTTAAAAGAATTACTATGCTATGCATGATTTTAAAGATGATCTGAATACTGTATAGGCTTCAATATTTTTAATATAATCTGTGCAGTTTATTGTGTTCTATGCTTTTACATGTTTTTTAAAATTACTATTGAAGGAAATGAACACACAAAAACTACATGTGAATAATATTAAGGTTGTGATGTGAATCTGATCGAATAGATGCCTTTAAAGTTAAGATTGACATTTGGGCCTTGGGTTTGATATTTTAATAAGGATAGAAGATTGCTGTGTATACGTTTAGTCTATATTTTTACTTTATTTTTTTAATGTATCTTATTTGCTTTTGTTTCTTCAGATGAGAGCCAGAAAACTCTAATGTGGTGCTTATGTTGTCTGTACAGCAATGAACCACAGAACCCTGTGGAATTGAAGGCTAACAGCTGGATACTGGTAAGCGAATGAATCCTCCCCTTGACTGCTTTGAATTAAATTGATTATTTAAAGGTGCTACAGCTATAGCATAGAGACAGTGTGTAATTTCAGAAACCGCTCCAAAGACAACCTACATACATGTTGTGTTGAAATATGTTCCACTCTAATTATAACATAATGTGTGCTAGCCTGTCATTTTGAATGTTAAAAAGATGCGGTGCTCAAATTAGGGTAGTTTTAATGGCCTTTATACAGTGGAGCCCTAAATCTAGTAACTGCAAGTCAGGAACAAAGACCAGAAATCAGAAAGGAAGAAAGTGCTATAAAAGAGAACCTTTCAATTAGGGTAGAATAAAATAATCTGGAGACATGCCATTGTTTTGAAAACAATTTATATTTGCTCTGTAATTTAGGTCTTTTCTGTTGCTGTGTTTTTGTTTAATCTCTCTTGCCTATGGAGAAGCTAATTGTATCCAAACTTTCTTTAGAGACAGTTAGTGAAAGAAAATACTTGTGTGCAGATTTATATTTAATGAGCTGTAAGAAATAATGAATACTTAAACCACTTTAATGCCCCATTCAGGGTTAATGTAGGCACATCTGTTGTTCACATTTTATGCACTTACTCCCTGAGCCAAAAAAGCACAACCTTAAGCACGAGTGCTTAAAGTTAGGCATGTGCTTAAGTGATTTGCTAAATTGGGGACTTAAAGCACATCTAGTTAGATTAGTGTAATTTCATTGGACTGACTTTCACCCAAAACAAGAGATGATAAAAATATTGATGGAATGGTTAAGAGTCTCAAATATGTAGGCCTTCAGGATAATAAGTAATTGAGCTGATATAATCTATTACAGAGGTGGGCAAACTATGGCCCACAGGCCTCATCTGGCCTGTGGGACTGTCCTGTCCGGCCCCTGAGCTCCCGGCCGGTGAGTCCCTGGCCCCTCCCCCGCAGCTAAACTGCCATGCGCTCCTGCAGGGCAGCACAGCAGTGTGTCTGGCTCCGGCTGGGCGGCACGGCTGCCAGACATGCTGCTCTGAGCAGCATGGTAAGGGGGCCGGGGGATTGGATAAGGGGCAAGGAGTCCCGGGGGGCAGTCAGGGAACAGGGAGCAGGGGGCACTTGGATGGGGCAGCGGTTCTGGGGGGCGGGTGGCGGCGGTCAGGGGACGGGGAACTGGGGGGGGTTGGATAGGTGTGGGAGTCCTGGGGTGCCTGTCGGGGTGGGGGTGTGGATAGGGGTTGGGGCAGTCAAGGGACAGGGAGCAGGGGGGGATTGGATAGGGGGTTGGGTCCTGGGGGGGTGGTTAGGGTTGGGGGGTCTTGGGAGGGGGTGGTCAGGGGACAAGGAAGGGGGAGGGGGTTGGATAGGGGAAGGGGGGCCAGGTTGTTTGGGGAAACACAGCCTTCCCTACCCGGTCCTCCATACAGTTTTGCAACCCCGAAGTGGCCCTTGGGCCAAAAAGTTTGCCCACCCCTGTTCTATTAGCTGAAATCTTTGCTAATGTTGCAGAATTTTTGAGGTTTATCAAAGCAGTTCATTTGTTGATTATATATTTCAATTCATATGTATCCATCTCTAGATTCTACAGTAAAATATTACTAATCTTAAAAAAATAAGGGCCTGATACTGCAAATATGTTTGCAGGTGAATAACTTCCTACATCAGTAAGGTCACTCATATGCATATACATTTGCTGGAATTGAGGTGAAATCATTAACTCCTTAGTAATTCAGGGTCTAACCCCCTGCTTATCCCACTCCTTTCTTGAGAGTCTGAAAAAACTGATAGGCCTCAGAACTTGTCCTGAAGTTCAATATGCTTGGGATTCACTGTGCTGTAGAGTTACTATGGCTTTAGTTAAAGATGCACTGCAAAGGACTTACTTTTTTAAATGTGCTTGTGTCCTTCTTTGCGTTTTTATGATGTGTAAAGAATGTAAATTTTTTTAATATGTGGAGTGAGGTGGAAGCGGGCTTTATTCGTACATTTTACCTTAAATATATCAGATTATTAAGTCTCATCTTTCCTGATTTTGCTGGAGAAACTCTTGGTGAGTGCGTTGAATCTTTAACAAAGAGATCCTTTTTCCCAAATGCTAATTAGATATTCAAGTTAAAGAGCTGTTGACGAAAGACACAAAAAACTGCCCAAAGTATTTGAAAACAGTCTGAGTAAAAATCCTTTCTCTTATTTTATCTTTCACTCTCTCGACTCTTGGGATGTCGTCTTTTCACAAGTTCACCAGTCATTACAGAGTCTTCCTGGTAACATGAGACCTGAGTTTCTAATGTAAAAAAACAAGCAGGAATTAATTTTTTTCAGGCCTTCTTTGTACACCTTAAAACCCAAAAAGGTCACAAGTCTATTCTGCAGGCCATCTTTAATAAATATTCACTGTTGCCTGAAGTTAATAAACAATCTACGAAATAGACGGAGGAATAAAACAACTTACCTTGATTTAGCTACCTGTGTGACAGTAGTGTAGACTGATTCCTCAAATGCAAATCAAATGCAGTTATCTTACTAAGCAATTGTATTAGTACAGAGCAGCTTCTCTTTTAAAACAATGAAAAGATAAAAAATAGTGGCTAAATAAAGAAAGAAAATGTATTTTAACCACACAAACTGAATGTACATAGAAATGACAATGTATCAATGCCAGTGTGCATTTTTCCTGCTGTTTTGGTTGCCTGTGCAAAAGATATTAGTTTATTTTTTTGTGACAAAAAGAAACAAATCTGTTCTCTGTGTTTAAATGGATTGTGATGGGGAAAAATCAGTGTGTATTCATTCTGTATCCTCTTTACTCTCACAGTTTCTAAGGGCTAAATCTTTACCTAGACACCACAACAAAATGATGCAGAGAGTCTGTCTTTGTAGAAGTCCTCCTGTTGATTTGGGCAAGATTCTCCATAATGAGCTATGGAGGCATACTGTGGCATGCACTTAACTGCTGATCTGACCAGGAGCAAAATTCATGCTGCTTCATAGCACTTATTGTAGATTGTAACATACCTATTAGCCAGCTAAGGGAAGGTTAGAGACTTTTATCTACCATATCCACTTGCATACTTTGTTTTTAGATGAGTGTACACACCTGACAGCATCAGGCCTGATTTCTTGAGGCCTGATTCAAAGCCCATTGAAGTTTGGATCAGGTTCGTAGTGCTATTGTAAGATCCTGTGCTGTTACTTCCACCTGCCATTAGCCTTACTGCAGCACAGAGGAGAATTTACTTTATGTGTAGCTTCAAGTCATTAATTTTATTTTCAACCCTAGCAAGTTGTCAGGAATCAAGTAAAATCAGCCAAAGGTGACTTTATAGCTAGGAGATTAGTTGTGATCTATTATTATTTGGTTTTATTTCTTTATTTGCACTGTGCCATTTGTCTTCATAGTTTTTTAAAGACAATTAAAAATGAACATTCTCTGCTCTGGGAGGTTTGCAGTCTATGCTCCTGATCCGAGGCCCACAGTAACACATGGTACTTTTCCATTGACTTTAACGGGCTTTGGATCAGACCCTAAATTAGACATAGCATAGCAAGGGTTGATCACAAAAGGGTAATGAAGTGGGTGTGGGAGGATGGAAGGCATGAATTTGACTGGTGGTGAGATATTCTAATTGTTACATATTCATCTTGTAAGTTAATTAAAATTTATAAAATATTTAAAATTTAATATCTTAGAATTTGGGGATGGTGAGAGGAAGATAAATAGAAATAAATGATTTTGGGGGTGGGATTAGTGAGTAAGGTTGCATAGTGCACAGACTCAGACAAAATTTGAGATTAAAAGATACTTTACAAGTCTTACTACTGATGCTTGAAAGGATACGGTCAAAGTATTTTCCCCAATGATTAAATTCTTTTTCTCTCACTGTTTCTTTACTGTGCAACTTACTTTCATCTTAAAATGTTCTAAACTGTTTTTCCTAAAGGTATCTAGTTAAGGTAAATTGTTTTATTCCACCATCATCCTTTGTAGATGGTATCATAATTTCAATCAATGTGATGTAATTAGGACCATATAACTCCCCACTTGGAAACTTGAACCAGAAGTTAGTTAGTTTGCCATTTTCACACTCAATTGCATGTGAAAACCAATTTGTCACTGTAGGTTTGCTTGTGACAGCTGGCATATTTTTATTTTTTAAATTGTTTTTTATTAAAACATTTTTAAAATAAAGAATTCTGAAGCAGTTGGGTTTTTTGGACACGTGAACCCACATATAGTGCATTAGAAGTTGTTTCCTATAGCAATGGTATCTTGTCCACATTGAGACTATATACTAATAGGATACAGAACTATATAAACATACATACAGTATGTAAAAAAAAAGACTGAAATATATTTGCTATGGGAACTGTAATTTTGAACTTTGTCTCATGTGTTTTTGAATTCTATAAAATAATATTGCCTGAATGTTTTTTCTGCTTGCTGGGTTTTTTTTGCGCTGAGTAGCAAAAGGTGTAAATTGCTTCTTGGAGAACATATAATATAATATAATAATCAGTAAAATGTCAAAACCAAATTGTATCTATACTGAAATTCTTAGTGACTCAAATCAGAAGCTGGAAACCACTACCCTTTTAATTTTAGGCACTCACCAGCACAGACTGACTTCTTTGAAAGTGTATCAAAGCATGCTGATAAAGATGAGGGAATGGATAATTTTATCTATATATATATCTTGTTCACTGTTCACTGAGTGATACACTATGAGTGGGGGAGCTGAGAGCCTTGGTGACTGCCCAGCTGGGAGAGGGGAGCCAGGAACTGGGGCGCAGAGCAAGAAGTCTGGTGGGTGCAACCCGGCTGGGTGTAGGGTGACCAGACGTCCCGATAAAATCAGGACTGTCCCGCGTCCTGACTGATCTTCGGTTGGGACGCAAATTGTCCTGATATCTGCCGGCAGCGCTTTTTTTTTTTTCCTCCGCCGGCAGGGACTGACTCAGCTTTT